ATATATATGTACACACACACACATATACACACACATACACACACACACATATATATATAAATTGAATTTTGGGAAACTTTAACGGTGCTGCCAACTTTGGAAAAAGTCTTACAGACTTTCTAAAAAGGAAAAATCTACCTATTTTTCTTTATGCCACCTTCCCACCCTACAGTCTTTTTTCTTCAATGTGATAATCTCCGCTGGTCAATTTCTCTCTCTCTCTCCCCCCTCTGTCTCCCTTCCTCCCTCCCTCTCCCTCTCTCTTTCTCCCTCCCTCTCCCTCTCCCCCTCCTTCCTAAGTATAAAAAACGTCTCAAATTACTTGACCTTTTGCTTCCATTGCCTGCCCCTTGTTTATTGTTCCTTCTTCTTCTCACCAGTGTGAATCAAGTCCAGACTGGCACTCAGTTACAACTGATGTTCTGCTCTGTGACTATATTGCTCACAGAGTAATAGGAATAGCAGGAATAGGAAGAAATTTGTTTGCACTATTACACAGCTTATTAGTATTTTCCAAAAGTGTGACTTTTCAGTGAAACCAGGCTTTAATAAAGTGTATAAATATATTGTGTGTCAGGGCAATATATTCCTAGAAAACTTTACAATTTTAAAACTTCCAGTAATAATTTTAAATCTTTTAAGTTTTTAACTTTTTCTTATTATAAAAGTAAAACACATTTGCTGAAGGAAGTCTGGAAGAAACAGAAAAGTACTGTTTTAGATGGAGAAATATGTAATGAAATTATGTATTAGGCTACAAACCAACATAGTAACTTCCAGTTGAAGTATTTTCATGAGAAGTTTTACAGGCTGTCCCTAACTGAATAGACCCTGGTGCAGTACTAGAACTACTTTGAACATGGTTACCCAAGACACAAACCCAGCACTTATCCTAGGTTCCTTCTGTATTCCCTATATCAAATCAACTATTAAATCTGCCTTCTTAATTTATTCTTTAACAAATATTTATCGAGTATTTTTCCTTGTGGAATGGTGATATTTTGTCTTGCTTCCTATCCTGATTTTTCAAATGTTAAATCACTAAACATTTACTCGCTACTAAAATGATATTTCTAAAATATACATTTGACCTTTCATTGGATTCTCATGACTCAGATAAAGTTCATACTCTTTAGTTTGATCACAGTGTGCAAGCCTCATATCGTTCTATTCCTCTCCCTGGCATCTTAACAGCAAACAACTTCCAGTTCCTCAGCCAAATATCTCATGTTCTCTTTGCCTCTCTGTTGACCTCATGAAATGCCCTCCATTTCCTCTTTTTATTTTAATAATAATATAACAATATCTGTTTGTCTTATATCAGGTCAAATGTAAAATAAAAATCCAGGGATCCTCTCTGACATTAGATTGAATTATATGCCTCTTACAGCTTTACCTTGCCTTTGAGTGCTATCTCAGTCATATTTATCGTATACTTGATATTGCTTTGTCTATCTGCCCCAATAAAATATAAAAAGCTATGTGAGCAGGTAGTAACTCAGGCATATAATAAGTACTCGAAAAATTTTGGTTAAGTAGATACATGGTATTTTTTGGAAATTTCTTTTCTGTGATGTGGATTAATATTTATATACCAAATATAGGTAATATTGATATAAATGATAAGGTTTATGTTTTCATTCTGTTACTATGAATGAAAGTTCTAAAAGCAGAAGTTTTAGAAATGAAGTAATAATTAAACTGAAGATAAATCTATGAGGATAAGAAGGATTACTTTGGATTTTTAATGAGAAAATAGTTATCAGTGATTTTAGATGTCACCAAAAGCATGATGAGAAGGATGAAATATTCAAAGCATTCAAAAACTTACAATGTAAATAAGTCATGTGATAGACTAATTTTGATAATATTTAAATAAATGTCTACATTATGCATAAAACTCCATTGAACAATGTTAATGTTTTAAGGCAAGGACTAAGTCTAATATTACTTCAGTGTTTCCTTCAGTACTCATCACTTCCTTGAGTATTTCAGTACTCAATATGTTAAATAAGTGATTAATTTCCATCCTAATTAAGATTACTTTCAGGAACATAAAATAATTTAAATGTCTTACCTATATAAAGAAAACTACATATCTGTCTTTGAGGATTATCTAAAATTTTTTCAATGCAGTAATTTCTCACCTGGGAATATGTACATGATATTAGTATACATACGTGAAATGTGGTTATTCATAATATCTCTTAAGATGCTCACTTCAACAGCACATACACTAAAAAAATACCTCAAGCTATTTATGAGGCTCGAATAATAATCTATACAAAGTCCTACTTCTATTATTAATATTTTGTTTTTTATATTTCATATTTCCAAAGTTAGTTGGAATGAATTTTTTAATGAATTTTTTAATGAATTTTTTAAAAAGTGAGTTGTGAGACTGGTTGTCACTTAACCTTCATCTTCTACTCCATTATATTTTTCTAAAAATTAGAGTTACAGTGATAAATAGTAGTTAGTAAAAGATCTAATTTATGAATGGATTCTACCTACTGAGAAATTTGCTAAGTTAATTTGAGTCAGAGTGATGTTTAAAACTACTGGCAGAATAAATGGAAAAAGACACTCTTTAGTCAGCATAGAAGTCTGAGCAGGCTTAACTGATTTCACTACTGTTCAAGTTGAAATGAATATGGTAAGGTTTAATTAGGTGTACACCTTATTTAACATGGTTCATTTTGTCAACCTGAAGCAATATTACTCATGCAAAATATATTTTCTCATTTAGATAAGTGAAATTAATACATTTATCAACTTTTCATATGTATTTTGCTCAAAGATATATAACATTTTTGATAGCATAATATTATAATTCATTTATTAAATCTGTTTCAGTATTTATGTGTCTTTATAGAACATAAATTGTCTGAAGACAATACCATGTCTGTATTTTTTTATCTTTGGGTCCCTAACAGAGGGCTTGGCACAGGCTGATAAATATTTGCTCAACAAATGAATGTATGAAGGCAACCACATTACAAACATGTATTCTTTGATTTGGTTCAAATAAAATTTAGCATATATACTTCTATTTACAATGTTAAAGAACTGAAGTGTTAATCTTAAATTTACAGCTGTTTTCTTTTTCTAACCATTTTATTTCTTTCCAACTCAGTGGTCTAGTTGGTTTTGTTTATCTTCTTTTCTTGAGTTATAACTTTGGAAATGTCAAGGATTAATTAGAATACCCTAATAGGTATTTATTATCTTGATCTTGCTTCCAAGTTGTCTGATTTTTACTCAGTGAATGTTACTTTCACATATTCAAGCTGTCCCAAATATATATGACTAATTTACAAAAATTTTATAGACAAAATGAATTGTTTTAAATTTTTTCTCTCAATCTTGTCATTTTTATTGTGCCTCTTATTAACTAAAATGTAAGCTTTTGTAAAATAAATGCTTAGGTAAGAATTGACTGAAGAGATACTATATAAAACAAGAATAGAAAATAGTAGCTATTGCCTGCTTTTATTGTTTTAGTGCTGGTTTCTAAAATTCTAGAAAATAAATGAGTGCTTACCATGCACATGCTTCATGTACATTATAGTCTTAAAGCCTTTTGTTTAAAGTTGGAATATATGAAACCAGCCAGGGATGTATCTCAGTGGTGCCACACTTCCCTAGCTAGCACAAGGTCCTGAGTTGGATCCCCAGAAAAAATAAAGTCAATATCGAAGAATATTTTTATTGTATCTAACATATATTATGTTTAAAGCACAATTTAAGTGTCAATATCGGAGAATATTTTTATTGTATCTAACATATTATGTTTAAAGCACAATTTGTTTTTATAAATGCAAAATGTGGTTGCTGAAAGCAGTGTCAACATCTTGTGATAATTATTTTTGTTTTGTGTTTATTAACATTATGTTACTAATAAGTTTCAACAATAAAATGCAATTTTAAAATGTCATCACAGCATAACATTCAGATAATTATATCTGTTATTGTTTATCATAATAACATCTCTGAATGTATTCTCTTGATTAACCAGACATCCCTGGTCTTTTTGAATAACAGCATACTTCTACTGCTCTTTTATTGAATGACCTTACCTTATATTTAACTTGACTGGCTTCTGTTTACAGAAATTGTAAACCAATTGAATGCTCTGAGCAGCTTAGATGAAGATCAAGATGACTGCATAAAGCAAGCAAATATACCTTCAGCTAAATCAGCCAGTTCCTCTGAAGGTCTAAAAGCTTTCCTCCTTTCTTTCTGCTTTTTATTGCCTGTATTTACTGTGACCTGCTATATCTTCACTTAAGTCTGTACCTGTCAGTTTTGTCTTTGTGCTATTTCTTAAATGTTTTCTTTAGTAATTTGTAGTGTGCCAACAGACAAGATAACAGAATTTCCTATCTTTAGCAAAGTCTTGTATCAGGATCCTTAGTGGTGATTTAAAAATATGATCTGAAGTAATAGTTGACATATAACATGACAATATTTCTTCAGTGAGTTCATGTTATTTTTTAAGAGTATTTGTTTATATATTTGGAGAGTAGATTGTTTTTTCTAAAAATGTATGTCAGATATTTTTAATGGAATTGAAATCAGTTCAGATGAAATTAGTGTACTTCATTAGCTGATAGTATTTTAAAATAAATAAACATTTGTTTTATTTTGAAATGTTGGTATACTACAAAATATTTGAATGGCATTCTGCTGTTGATAAAATGCTGTATCTTATTATTTGCAGGTATTATTAATGCACATTTATAGAATTTGCAATGTTTTATGAATGCAGTAATTAGGCATCACCATAACTGTAGTGGACTAACACATATGTTTGTTTTCAGAGCTTATCAGCAAACTTAACTTTTTGGATGAAGCAGAAAAGGACTTGGCCACTGTGAATTCAAATCCATTTAATGATCCTGATGTACCAGAATTAAATCCATTTGGAGATCCTGACCTAGAAGGTACCATTTTTTTAATACATTTTAAAAGTCTATGTAATAGTCTAGTTCTCTAGAACTATAAGGGCAGGAGAATATTTTCTCAAAAGATATTTTTTGTTTATAATAATAATACTGTGCTCATTACCACTTGTAGTTGAGCATACCTGATTTCGATCCCCATACCAAAAAAAGAATAACTAACAATCTGTTCTTTGTGGCTGTACCACTGTGTTAATGATAATAACTTCACTATAACATGTGATTTGCTGTTTCCTTTTGTTGCTGTGCTTTGTTGTTTTTGGTTGTGTTTTTTTTTTTTTTTTTTTTTTTTTTTGGTACAGGGGATCGAACTTGGGACCTTGAGCTTGTGGGGCAGGTGGCAGCACCACTGAACTAAAACCCCAGCCTCTCAACTGAATTGTTTTTAAAGAAAAGGAGAAAGCCTGATATAGTCATTTATTTATATGAAAATTATTTTTTTTCCTCTGTTAGTTTGGTCAGATAGATAGAAAAGGCCTGAAGAGCATTTTACATAACTGGCATATAGTAAAGGTCTATAACAATATTTTATATAACTGGCACATAGTAAAGTCTCATTGGTTATGTATATGAACTGAAGTCAGGCTGTGGAACATACCAATAGTGAGGTGGTGGAGGTAGCTTTTCTCTTTATATAGCTCTTCTACGTATCCTTCAAAAAATCAGAACATCCATCTACCCCCAAGTCTGTCTGGCTGAAAATCATAGTCAGTAGTGAGAGTGAATTGTGTATGTGATAATATAAAAGAGAAGGTTGGGAACCACTGTCTCGTGTGTGTGTGTGTGTGTGTGTGTGTGTGTGTGTGTGTGTTTCTTTTTGAATGTAATTGTAAAGATTAACAACAGGGATCACCCCACCCCAAGTCATTTTTTCCTATCAAGAAGTTTTGAACTCTTAAAGTCTAAATAAGGACAGTTGATGAAATGAGACCTCTATTTCATTAAACTCTTTGCTCAAAGTAAATGCAAGAATGATTAACCACTGTTTACATCTTTTTGACTACTCTTATGAAATCTTCATGAGCTTGTAAAAGAAATTTGTTATTGTCTGTCATGATGAAAATGAGGTTTCAGCATTAAGATTCCCTTGGTTAGAGCAATATTACTTTGTAATCCTTTCTCTTCCTCTTCCTTTACATTTCCCTTCTTACCAAGCTCTCCAAATTAGTAAGTTTAAATGAATGAGATTTTATCTGTGGGCTTTACTATTATGAATGTTATTTTAAAATCACAAGTCTTAGAGACAATCAGTTGAACACTTGATTCTCAGACAAGTATCTTCTTTTGACCACACAGTTTCTCTGTACTGTGTATGAGTATATTAAGTTAAAAAATATTTACCAAGGTATTTTGAGACATTGCTATTTAAATTTTCCATTTCAAAATCAAATAAGTAACTTTTCTAAATATATATGGATCTGTTTTTTGAAATATAAAGGGAGTAGCAGATAAGACATAAGATTACATTTGTGTTTAGAAGAGCTAAGCCAGCCTATTTTAGAATTAATTTAGAATTTAATTATGCCTATAGAAAGAAGACAGTGTGTGGCAACCAGTACATATTCTCTCTCTCTTTTTTTTTCAACCAGTATACATTCTCTTGAAATATGTGCCTATTAGAGCATTTTTATTTTTTATTGATTAAAAACTTGCATCCTTAAGAAAAGTATTTGGGGAAAAATGTGCTGTAGTTCTCTAGGGATTTTCTTTTGTCTTTGCCTTTCTTTTGCTTTTACAGCTTCAGTTCTCATATGTTCATGTTTTACCTTTAAAACTTCAGTCTTCCTTGTATTCATGTGCTTCAGTGACTCTTTGAGAATGTCATTAAATATATTTATTCACTTTTATATGAAAGTCTTATTTTAAACTCTGCTTTGTTGCCTGTTGTATTGTCTTCAAATCTTGCTCTATAGTTTATGTACTTCCTTGCTTTCAGTTTTGTAAGAGATGAATTTGCTTAGAACAATTTCTCTTCCTAAAATAGAAATAAGAATTTTATGTCCATTAACCAATTTTGTCAGTTTCTTAAGTATTTGAGCCCCAATATTTGTTAATAAAATATTGAATAGGACCCAGATGCTGTTGCACATGCAGGTAATTTCAGCTACTCTGGAGGATAAGGTAGGAGGCCAGCCTGTGCAATTTAGTGAGACTGTATCTCAAAGTAAAACTGAAAAAAGAACTGAATATGTAGCTCAGTGCTAGAGCATTTGCCTAGCATGCCTGAAACCTTGGGTTCAATCTGCACTACCAGAAAAACAACAGAACTTCTAAAGATGTATGGTCAGTGCTGCATTCATAACTGAATGGTAGAGCACATTAGCATGCATTAGACCAGCAAGAGAGGTAAGGAGGAGGGGTTGGGAGTGGAATTTAAGGTGTTGCAACAGATAGAAACATGCTCTTTAAAGACTTTGGGAATGAATTTTTGAATATCTAGATGATCTGTGCTGGTTCCATGGATTAAATCAAAATTAAATCCATTTTATGTTCTTTTAAAAAATTACTAGTTTCCTTTTAAATTTCTGTTTTTGGGGTGTTTTTATTTTTGTTTTTGTTTGTTTGTTTGAGACAGGTCTTTCTAATCAGACTAGACTGACCTTGAACTCACTATGTAGCCCTGGTTGGCCGCGAACTCGCAGTGATCCTCCTGCCTCAGCTTCCAAGTACTGGGATACAGTCGTGTACCACCATATCTGGCTTCTATAAAGTTTTTTTTTTTTTTTTTTTAGTACATGTTTGCACTATGTAAAGTTTATAGTCCTTCTGTGGACTTTTATATGTATATAACACATCAAGTGAAACCATACAATATTTGAACTTATGTGTCTGATTTATTTCAATATTATGATATTATGATGTCAAGATGTGTTCATTTTCCTACAGATTATATTCTTATGGCAGTACTAGTAGTACTTCATGTATAAATAGCACATTTTCTTTATCCATTTATCTGTTGTTGGGCATATAGGATGCTTCCAAGATTTAGCTGTTATGAATTGTGCTGCTATAAACATGGGTATGCATGTATCACTGTAATAAAATGTTTTTAACTCTTTTGTAAGATACCCGAAAAGGGAATAGCTGGGTCAAATGGAATTTCTAGTTTTAACTTTTTGAGGAATTTCCTTTCTGATTTCCATAATGATTATATATTTCTACAAACAATGTAGAAGGGTTTCTTTTTTCCTTTTTTTTTTTTTTTTGGTGCCAGGGATTGAACTCAGGTCCTTGCGCTTGCAAGGCAGCAGGTAGTGGAACCACTGAACTAAATCCCCAGTCTAGAAGGGTTTCTTTTTACCCCTGCATTTCTCGCTAGCATTTGTTATTATTTGATTTCTTAATGATAGCCATTATGTCTGGGGTAAGATGGAGTCTCACTATTATTTTAATTTTTACTTCTCTAATGTCCAGTGATGTTGAACACTTTTTCATGCATTTATTAGTCATTTGTACTTCTGTGAAGTATCTGTTCATTTCACTTTCCCATTTTTTGATTGGGTCTTTTGGGAGAGGATCAAAAATTTTTAAGTATTTTATATATTCTAGATATTAGTCCACTCTGAGGTATAGCAGCCCAACATTTTTCCTATTCTATAGGTTATCTTTTCGCTTTGTTCATTGTTTCTTTTATTGTGCAGGAGCTTTTAAATTTGATATGATCTCATTTATTGATTCTTAGTACTATTTCCTATGAAACCAGAGTTCTGTTCATGAACTTCCCTGTGCCTATGAATTCAAGAGTTTTACTCATCTTATCTTCCACCAGGTTGTGTTTTGTTTTAACATTTAGTTCTTTGATCAGTTTTAATTTTGGTTTACTACATGGTGAGATAGATGGGCCTAGCGTCCATCTTCTGAATAGCAAGTTTTCCCAACACCATTTATTAAAGAGAGCAAAATGCAGGGAATAAAAGAAAGATAAGATAAACAGAAAAATAAAGTTGAAAGGGAAAAACAGAAAAGGAGAGAAAGAAGCTACAAGAGAGGGAGGAGGAGAAAAAAAGCCAAACCCCAGAAAATCTGATGAGGAATAGATTAAAAACAATAAAAAATAGAAAAATTTTATAAAAGATTACATTAAAGAAAAATTTTCTGTTTTTGAATAAGTGGTTTCTTTCTAAGATCTGCAGTCTTTGGATGTGACCAGTTATGATTTTCTCTGCCTGGTTTTAGGGCCTGTCTGTTTTTGATTTTCCCTCTCTGCACCAGAGGTTCCTCTTGTTCACCAAAGATTAGTAACCATCGCAACTGAGGTGTTTCCTTGCTCCCATTGGTAGATGGGATATGCCATCAGCCCTCTAATCTCTGCTGGATATAGGCCACAGGGTTGTGGTTTGAGTGGAGTGTTGGATTTAATGTTGACAGTTCTGGGGCCTGGTTGTTCCCTTCTTTCCTCAAGTGTTGTGCTCATCCAGGATCAGGTCAATTGGTTGGTCCTTACCTCTGCTTCCCTATTACAAGGGGAAGCAAAGGGTAGAGCCTGCTTGGAGTTGGTGGATGGTCTCATCTTGCATTAGGAGGTACATCAGGAGGGACATGCTTACTTATGTCATGGGAGGGTTTCCACACATTTGGTACAGATCTGCTTGCTTGCATCAGAGCAAAAAAATTTGTTTCAATTTGGAACAGCAAACTAATATAATAAAATAAAATAATGATGTAATATTGTGTTTCCAACAAGTTTAAAATTTCCAAAATTGATATATCATAATGGTGATAGTATTAGAAATTATAAAGGATGTTATGAAACATTAACAACCCAAAGATGTCAGTTTTGCATTTTTGAGAGCACCATTCCTAAAGTAGACTGAGATTTAGATAGCACATTCTCTGCACTTCAAGATTCCTTTGCACCTGTAAAACATACTGTTTCATTATAGCTTTATGCTTTCTCAGTCCTATAATCTATTAATTCATGATTTGCTTGTTTGTTTGTTTTAAGACAGAATCTAAATTTTGCTGTGTAGCACAGGCTGGCCTGGAACTCATTATGTAGCCCAGGTTGGCCTCAAACTCACAGTCCTTCTGCCTCAGCCTCCTAAGTGCTGGAATTTCAGGTGTCAGACATCAAAAAGTTTGTAGAGTGTTTTTTTTAAAGAAAGCAATAATTATATAATAAAATATGCTATTAACTTATGTCTTCCTGGTATTTTATAGAACCAGTCACTGAAACATCTTTGCCTAAAACAACAGAAGACTCTTTTTATAACAGCTATAATCCCTTTAAAGATGTACATACTCCACAGTATTTGAATCCATTTGATGAGCCAGAAACTTTTGTAACTATGAAGGAATCTCCTCCCCAGTCTGCAAAAAGAAAAAACATAAGACCTGTGGACATGAGCAAGTACCTCTATGCTGATAGTTCTAAAACTGAAGAAGCGTTGGATGAGTAAGTACATTTAATTTTATTATCATCAGAGCCAATCTCTATATTAACTAAAAGAAACTTCTATAACTTTTAGATGTGTGAAAATGGTAATATGTACCTTAGTATTGAATTCATTCTCCATTTGAATTTTACTCTTATTCTCTAACCTTCTTCCATGTGGGTAGATGTATACCCTTAACTAACAAATAAGGGAGAAATGTTTCTGGAATTTTTGCATGGAATTCCAATTGTGCCTTTTCATAGAGACCGTGCTATAAATGGTATTTAGGTGTTTTAAATTAAATGCAATAGGCATTACATTTCAGTTATGTTATAATTCTATTGTAGAAACCAAATAATCACTTAGGATATTGATGAGACCTGTTCAAATGTCAAACAAAATCATAGCATTTATAAATTAGAGGTGATCACAAGCTCAATATGAATAGATAGTATGATTAGGGCTGCCATTTTGCTTAAACCTAGAATGAGGATATGAAGGAGCTATGTTTACATTGCAATCTGGAGTTGTAGAGTGCATAATTTTTGTGGCCATAGACCAAGGCCCTGAGTGTTTTTTTTTTTTTTTTATTGAGTTTATTGGTACATTTAGGGATACAGTACAGTTACATTCATTGTTGGGATCATGTACCTTTACATGGCAAGTCTTGATTCTCATTTTTTTTCCCCTTACCTCTGCCCTCCCTTCACCCCCTCCTCCCCTCCCCCTGAGTGTGTTTTAAAAAGAGCAAAACTTCCATTTCTAGCCATGATGAAATAACACACACTAAATTTATCATCTGTCTTAACTAAAAAAATGAAGAAAATATTTGAAACAGTGGTTTTTCAGGTGTTGGATATAAGCTGCATAGGACAGTGATCCCATGGAGAACAGAAATAAAGATCATCCCTTTAACTGTCTAACCTTATTTATAGAAAGTTTCCAACTGCAATTCAGTCCAAACAGTTCCCAGTAATCTTGAATTGAGGAGACAGTATTTGGGCTTTGGAGGTACCAAGGTGAGTAAAATTTGTGCATAGTGTTCCAGAGAGGAGAGAGCTATTTAAGAGTTTCACAAGTTTGTAGAAGATTCTCTTGAATTGCTCAGGATTGCTCAGAATATGCCCATGAGAAGATTACCAAGGACAGAGGAATAAACAGAAAAATCACTGGAGTTCTCCCAGGATCAAGTATAGTTTGTGTTCCCACTTGCCAAATGAAAGACTATAATAACTCATGGAACATTTAATTGTTTAAGCACCATTTATCAAAAAGATTATTCTTTTCTAACTGACTTCTAGTTTTTCCAGAAGTCAGTTGACAATATATATATGGATCTGTTTCTAGACTCTCTTCCATTCATTTGTAGCCTGTTTCTTAAGTCAGTGCCACAATGTCTTGGTTAATGAGTTTTAAAATCAGGTAATGTAAGTCCTTTAAAAAGTTGAAGGGCCCTATTCACAATATTGCTGAGAGAAATTAAAGAGTAAAATCAATGAAGAAATACTGTGCTATGTATTAAAAGACGTAAGTTCTTTTCCATTGGTCTACAGACTCATTGTGGTATTAGGGTTCTCCAGAAAGGCAAAACCATTAGGCGACAGAGAGACAGGAAGACAAATAGATATGAAGAAGAGTTTATTAAGGACATTTGCTCAGATGAATATGGAGGCTTAAGCCAGGTGTGGTAGCACACATTTGTAATCACATATATTTATAATCTCAGGAGGCTGAGGCAGGAGGATCATTGTGAATTTGAGGCCAGCCTGGGCTATATAGTGAGTTCAAGGCCAGCCTGAACTACATAGTGAGACCCTCTCTCTGAATGAATGAATGAATTAGTTAATTAACGGAGGCTTAGAACTCCTATCACAGGCCACCTGCAAGCCAGAGTCCCTGAAATGCCTGTAGCATGGCTCAGTCCAAACCCAAAGGCCTGAGAATCTAAGAATTGCTGGTATAAACTCTGGAGTCCAAAGGCTGGAGAACCTAGAATTCTGATGTCCAAGTACAGGAGAAGAATAGTTCCCAGTTCCAGGAGAAAAAGACCAATTCACCTTTCCTCTCTTTTTGTTCTATTCAGGCTTCTAGCCAACTGGAGTTTACTTGGCCATTTTAAGTGAGGATCTTTCCCACTTAGTCACTCAGATGCCATTCTTTTCTGGAAACACCCTCACAGACATAAAACTTTACTAGTTCTCTCAGTACTTCTTAATCTAGCTAACTTAACACTGAAAATTAACCACTACAAATTTTGTCACAATCAAAATTTTAGAATTAAAAAAAATACTTGATAAGTTGTTTTCAATACATATATGGAAACTTAGGGACTTAGAATACACCCCTTCAGATTTAACTAAAAGTACAATATACACCTAAAAGTAAGATGAAACATTGAACTAGGGACAGTTGCACATGCCTGTAATCCACATCACTTGGTAGGCTAACGCAGGAAGATCTCAATTTTGAGGCCAGAGTAATATAAGAAGACTCTGTCTAAAAACAAACAAGCAAACCACACCTTATCAGCTAGAGACCAAGGAGGTCCTCCCAAAGAAGAGATAGGATCGTGACCATCCATAGAGTAGGTTCTTGTCTTAGTAACCTTCTTGTCACTGGGAAACAATACCCAACATCTGTAACTTAAAGGAGGAGAGGTTTATTTTGGCTCATATTTTCAGTACTCTAGCTTCAAAGTAGGACAGAATAGAAGAAGGGCATAAAGGAAGAAAAGCTGCTCACATGATAGCATCCAGAAAGCAGAGAGAAGGCAAGAGACAGAGGGGTAGATACACTCTTCCAGTTCATGCTCCCTTGACCTGCACCACCTCCCGACAATAAGTCAGCTGTATCAACACCCTAAAACAGTCACCTTTCAAAGGCCCTGCCTCTGAGTGCATGAGTCTTTGGGGGAACACCTAAGATCTAAACTATAACTTTCCACCCCTGCCCAGCAAAAGACTTATACACATCATTTTATGCAAAAAACGTTTAGCTCCTCTCTAAGAGCCAGCAAAATCAACAATTTTTCAGCATTGCTAAAAAGTCCAAGTCCAAAGTCTCCACTGGGATTCAAGGTAAACTCTTAGCTATGAACCCTAATAAAAATCAAAATAAAGGTTAAAACTCGCAGCACTCCTTGGCACTGGGTGAACATTCATGTTCCAAAGGGAAAAATAGGAGGATAGGTACCTGTAGGATCAAAGCAAGACTGAAACCCAACAGGGCAGACATTAAATCCTGTTGCTCTGTGTTATATTCTTTGTATTGCCGGTTTGAAGCAAAGATGAGAGCTCCAAATGACTTGGATGGTCCTACCTGTATGTCCTTGTCTTTTGCACATCTTTCAGCTTTTCTCTTAGGCAGTATCTGCTCACTGCCTATGGCCTTCCTCAGATTTTCCATGTTCCTACTTTCCTAACTTCCTGAAGTTCCTACTGCACTTTCATAGCTTTATGCTGCCCTCACAGGGGCACGTTGTCTAGCTTCTTGGGCCTTCTTCTGAAATCTGAAGCCTACCTGACCCCTTGCATTCATCATGCCTGTAAAACAAGCACCATATGGATAATATCAAGGTCAATCACCAGCTTGTGTATTGGCCAGCCCCCTTTGAATCATGGCTGCAGAGGCCTCCAAGTACCCGATGGCTGAACTCTGGGAAATTGTTTTCTAGTTCACCCTCAGTGAGTCATGCTCCCTGGGGCTCTTTTCAAATGAAAGCTTTACAGCTTTAAGTCTTGTTTCAGTAAAAGAATTTTCAGGATGTGTCAGTGAATGACCTAGGCAATTTAGGCAAAGTGCTAATTGTAGGCAGAGCTAGAAAGTAAGATAAAAAAGGGAGAAGACTTCAATTTGAAGAGCTAAAAAGGGAGAGCACAACTCTAATGAAAAGGATCAGATTGGTTCCTTAATAAGACAATGAGAGGAGCGTTTATGGATAAGCTGAGGTGGGATAGGGTTTGGTAGATCATTATCTCCATTCTGATTTTACATGATAGCTCCAGGAGAAATCTTCTTTGCTTGAAGGGGCAATTCTGTCTCCATGAGATCATTATTTCTGCTGAGAACAGTCTTGTTATTGTGGAGGCCCTGCCAGAATCCACAGTGACCTGTAAGTTTAAGGCAATGATTGGAGACTTCTGAGCACTCATTGGTAGTTGAATGTCCATATAAATTTTTTATCTTTGTTTCCCCTGCCTTGAAGGGTGATGAGATAAGTAATGTAAATTTAGGGTTAATTAACTTTGTATTGCCCATGTTTAGATAGAAATTCCCTAAATGCACAACACACCTATATGTAGAGCCAAGCCAAAGTTTGAAGGCAATAATAGTGACAGATACAAAATGAAGGTCAAGTTTGTTTTGCATTTAGTTATATACTGGGCATCTGTTCACTAAAGTGAAGAGTCACTGTTTTTAGCAAAAACCTTTCTTAAGTCCCTGACTGCCTCCAAAGAAACGTAAGTCATACTTTTAATGAATAATAGGATAAAGGCCCAGAGGTCAGTTTGTCTTCTGTGCCTGTCTGACTGTATCAAAACATTGAGGCTTCCAGAAGAATGCTAGGAGAAAATCATAAATAACCTTGAGCTAGGCAAAGCTTTAAATAAAATGCAAACACACAAAGAACCAGAGTTAATTTGAACTTCATTAAAAATTTTCTGTATAAAACCCTTACAAAAATGAAAAGTCAAACCTCAGTTTGGCAGGGCCGGGGATTTAACTCAGTGGTTCTGCCGCCTGCCTCACAAGTGCAAGGACCTGAATTCACTCCCTAGTACCCAAAAAAACAAAAAACAAGAACTCCTCAGTTTGGCGGAAATTATTTGTGGTGTACAAAGTAGGAAAAAGACTTCTGTTCAGAATGTGAGAAGTCTTTTTTTTTAACTCAATAATAAGAAAGGGGGAAAAGATTTGAACAGACATTTCATGAAAGAAGATATTAAAATAATCAATATGCACTCAAAAAGATGCTAAACTTAATTTGTCATTAAGGAAATGAAAATTAAAATCACAATAA